CTCCCAGCGCTGCCCGCCTCGCAGCAGCATCACGCTCCCGCCAAAGACCCGCTGGGCTGGTCGGAGCTAGGGATTCGCTTTTCCCAATTAATACCAAGACCACAGAGGAACATGCAAGATGAATTTACGAAGTCCGCAAGCAATCTTTTTTTATTCAGAATTTCTATCATTCCCCAAAAAGAATTTGACTTGTCTTCTGCTAACCTGAAACTTTCTTCCACAGAGAGATGTAAAATACTTCCAAACCTTGGCGGCTTACTCTTGCTCAGTCCTCTCAAACGACCAGGGAGCTGAAACCCAGTGGATACAACTGGATGCAACCACAAATACTCGAGCTAGATAGATACTACTGCTACAATGACACTGTTTAAGAGCTCGGAAAGACGTTTTAGGGGTGTCATATAAACACCAGTATGAGCATCACGTTTGCACATAACCGTCTTTACTACAAAAGGACCAGACATACAATGCTGCTGCGTGACCTTCCAGTCTATTCAGAGAAGCGAAAGACACCACAGCTCTCTCACAGACTTCGCAAAAAGCACACATTAAAACCAAGCAGCTCCATAAGCAGCAGCCTCGACAAAGTCCAGTCCCCGATGGATTCATGCGCTGCGGAGGCTCTGCGTGGGCTCACTGACGTCCAACCAGCAGCAAGCACACCTCGGAGCAGGGTAGGTAGGCATTTGTAGGATCTCCCTCCTCTGGCTGGCCACCTATCTTCATGACATTTGTAGAAAGTCAGTATTTTCAGGGGCTTTGCCTATACCTTCCCAAAAAAATTGCCTGAACCTGAACAATCAGTTCAAAATTTAATAAGGCAGTGCTAACGGGCACATATGCATGGCTACCCACCTCCTTCGCCACCACCAGCCACCAAACACACAGGCAGCGCGATTGCGTGCATTTTGCTTCAGAAAAATATCTCACAAAGGTTCACAGCCACATCTTTCTGATGACCAAAATCACACAGAAAAATAAATCCTCAGGCTGAGCTTTGAAGTGCCAAGCATCAGCCCAAAGTGAATTTTTAACAGCAGAGTTGGGAAGGAAGAAAGTGCTAGGAGAGAAGGCTGACAGACATGCTGCTTAAGATCCCATACGGTTTTCTGATACAAAACCAAACAAAAAATGTCAGCAACCCACACTGACCATAGACTCACCGCACTGTGGAATAATCTATGAACACTGTTTTAATATATAATTTACCTGGGAGGAAGCAGTTGTGGTGAGCACGGAAACCGAGCCATCTCCTCACACATTAGAAGAGGCAGCCAGGAGACAAAAATCCTTGGGAGATGTCTTCACACCCAGCCATTACCCTGGCCACAAGGCGAAGATACGAGATTGGTTCAGAAACCTGCAGCAGCACTAAGGATGACAGAAGGATGCTGTTACTTCCTTCTAAGCACTCTCACTCCTCTCACCAGTTCAGTGTATTTTACGTAAGCTGAGCCTCCTGGGTGCACCAACTAAGTGCTGCACCAACTAAGTGCTGCACCAACTAAGGGCTGCGTTGAGTTCAACAAGGCAAGAACCTTCCAGCACATCCATCGAAAGCTGGAGCTAGCAGGGGTTCCAGGGGACTTAGGACAAAGGGAATGTGATATATTCCTCTATGTACTGTGTCTGGGATTGTAATGAGTCAGCCTCTCCTGAACATTTAAAAAGAAGGGCCCTGAGGCAAACTTTCTCTCTCGGCAGCTGTATTGTAGATGCCTCCTATTTCAAATGAGAAGACACGTTTTAGTTTCAACTTTCGCTGTGTTCTACACAAACTGTGCATTTCACTTGATTACTGAAAATAACTGGTAGCAAAACACAGTTGCATAATTAAATTAAATTATTAATTTTAGATTTCAATTTAATTCTTAATTTTAATTAACAGTCATTAATTAAACAAACGCTTCACATTAAAGGAATGGAGTCCCCAGAGCAGTATGTTCCTGGCATCAACGAGCTTTTGGTGTCTGCCGTCACGTACCCTGCATACTCTGTCTCTTCTGAGGACAATTGGGTGACGTATGGGTGTGAGCTTCTGTAAGTATTTCAAGAGGTGTAGTGACTAAGGGCTTTGTTATTCTTTCCCTAAATCAATCTCAGATTTACCCAGCTGGGAAAACAGGTTAGGTAACAGGGTTATCCAAACCTGAAAGTCCAGTGACTTTCTCTTTTGGGACATTTTTGCTAGTCTGAGTGTTTGAAATCCAAACAATCTAATTCTGTCAGTCAAGCTGGTATGAAGGTCTATGGAGAAGGAATTTTAAATCCCATAGTTACTTCTGGATATCAGGAAACAGCCCTTATTTGTACAAGAATGTATTCTTTCCTAAATTCTTTTTTAATCTAAGCATCCATATAGAAACCTTATTCACCCGTGATTTTTTCTAACTAAGCATTCGCTTCCAAAGGCTTGTATCTCTGCTCACGCAAGTACAGAAAAAAGACAGTGCTAATTACCATCTTCTGGGTATTTTCTTTTGAAGAATGTCTTTTAGATACAGGTGTTCTCACAAACACAAGTGTCCTAAAGAAAATCATCAGCAGTTAGCATCCTGAGATTAATTTTTTCAAATTTACAACACAATTCAGTTTAGAGCAAACTTTCCCACTTTGAACGTTACACTATGAATCAGTTATCAGAGCTAAACAACACAACCACCTTGTTCACAGCACATTCTCAACCCCAGCATTTTCAAGTTCAAATTCCAGTGTTTTCAGGCTACTGTGTATTATGCTTCTTCCTGGACTGTTTCACAGTCTTGCTACAGCACTGCTGTTTTATAGCTAGCAACCTGGGCTAGTAGTTCTCACTGACTTGTTCAACTATCATGGTGCTGCACAGATGGTGACTGTGATCACTTAGCCACCAAAGGTCAGCCAGTTATGCCCCAATTTCCCAGTAAACCTTCAAGGATGATTCTGCTCGAAAAAATCATTAGTCCAAGCCCCAGTCTATCACAGACAAAAGCCTCTTGGGTCAACTGGGGGTTGTTTGCTTTTACATGTCAGTAAGCAAAGCCCAATGCATCAAGATAGTCAATTATTTTCATTGATATAAAGAGGGGAAAAAGAAAACTAGATCAAGAACTTATTAGTAAAAGCTACCGTGACTCCACAACCACTGAAGGTGCCCACTACATGGCAGTGGGTAATGCTTCAGAATGTTATATACAGAGAAGATCACTGCAGTGCTGTGAACATTTTCAGAAAACCCATTGCATTCTTAACTAAAAGCATTAACAAACTTGATTTAGGAAACAGAAGCCAAATGACAATTGCAACAAAACCTGCAGGCCACCAAAAAGAAAAAAAAATACAGTCCCCCACATTTCTACAGTATTTCTTAGTAATGCTTCTATTGTGCAAGCACTTGATGATCACACCAGTCTGACCCCACCTGTGCAAGGTACCATCTGGACACACAATGAATTTCCATCTTTAATGGCAGTCGGAAAGACAAGAAATAGCTGATGGGTGAGATAACTGAGAATCCAAAGTAGGAAGCAGTCGGATAGGATTACTATTTAAAAAAGAGGACGTGCCCAACAAGAGCATAGAAAAAGCTGTGTCAGGTCAAAGCAAAGGTCTGCCTCACTCAGGATCCTGTCTCTGACAGCAGCTGAAAGAACAGAGGAAACTCACATATGTCCCCTCCAAACTCTCCCGTCTTCCAGCATCTGCAGTTAGAAGTCTTCCCAGGACAGACATGGTTGCTATATACTGAGCAACCCTTAACACGTGTCTCTTCTGTGAACCCGTCCCACCCACCCTTGAACCCATGTAAGCCCTTGGAACTCA